CTCTATGTTACGCTAGATTCTTTAATGGCGTTTGTGCCTATAATTATGACGATATATTAGTTAGATTAAATTTCTTATCGTTACATTTAAGGAGGAGGCTTTTGGATGCTCTTTTCCTCGTTAATGTTTTTAAAGGCAAAATTAGTTGCTCATCTGTTGTTGATACAGTTAGTCTCTGCCTACCCATTAGGTCTATCAGAGACTATTCTACCTTTACTGTACAACGTAATTTCAAGGCCAGTCCCTCTGCCAGATGTGTTTCTGGTGCCAATGCAGTCTGCAGGAGCATCGACATCTTTAACAAAGATCGTGTTTTGCTTACTGAGGTCAGTCAGCTTTTTAAACAATAATCATGGTTTTTTATTGTTTACTTAGTATGACATTTTATTGTGTATGTTTTTTGTCCAATATTAAACTGTTTTTAGTATAATTATTATTTTACTTATCTATAACATTTAGTTTTTTACTTATGAGTTATTTTGCAATAAATCAATATTGTACAGTTATGTTTTCAGTTCTTTGTTTGTTTGCTTTTGTATTGTAATTTCAGTATTGTTGTTAGTGCTTGGCTGTTATTGGCTGTTGTCAAGCACTTTAATAAATGAATTGAATTGAATTAGAATATAATGTCAGATTACTTTCGTAGAGGATTTAGGAGTTTTGTTGTCCATTTCTATAAATAGAAGTGAAAAGCGAGGGATGCTGGTTGAGTAATAGAGATACTGAAGAAATAGCAGATAAAGGAGTCTAAGTGGTCTTTCACATTCCAGCTTGCCGGCAAAAGGCAGCCACACAGTACAATCTGTTTCACCAGGTTTCCGGATAAAGTCCGCCAGTTTCACCGGCCCCGAGCGAGTCCACATACGACAAAGTTTTAAATCTTCAACCCTCCTGGCTGACACAACACACAGACCGTCCTTACCAATATCCGGTAGTCACGTACACCAAAATATCAAACTCATTCGATTTTCCTCCTCGAAGTTCAGGAACACGCAAGATCTTTAAGACGTCCAGCTTTAGTCCATTCACTATCAATCTTACCCGACTTATCCGGTACCGGAAAACAGGTTGAAGAAGAACGTTGAGTGTGGGAAATGTTAATTTTCTGCGTCGCATCTGGTGTGGTATGGAATCTTCTATCAACACACTGAAAAATTCTCATCGGCCGAGACGCTGGCTGCCAGAATGCGCCTGCAATGTCAGTTGTCAGGGTGTCTGTTGTTATGTGGATTTGTCTCCCAAAATATTAGTTGTTGTATTTATGAAATTCTGAAGCAGTTCCTTACATCACAGTCGATGTTTCACAGCTGTATTTCATATTTGCCGAAAATAAATGATAAGACATTGTACGTGCTTTGGTTGTTGATCCAGTTTGTCTTAGCACAAATCAAACGTTAAAACACATCCGCGAAAACAGCTACTGTAATATAACAATCACAAAACTGATTTTAATATAAACATGTCCCGATATAGAATGAACTCCAAAGGATTGCACGTCAAAGTGAGTGGGGTACACGTAAGTTATTACTCTAGTGCAGTGGTCCCCAACGCGGTGCCCGCGGGCGCCATGGCGCCCGCCAAAACCTTTTTAGGTGCCCGCGTTGTTACGGAAGAGGTTATACTGAATAATGAAGGTCATTCAACCATGAACATTATAAAATAAAAAAACACAGATCTCGACTTACTGACGCCCATCTTGACGATTGTTTGCGAGCAGCAACATCATCCTACACTCCCAAATTTGAAAAACTGGCCGATGAAATGCAGCGCCAAACATCACACCAACTTCCCACTTGAGTAATAATAATTGTACTTACAAAACTACGTATTTTTGATTGCATGGTTTCTTGTATCATTAAACGTCGTGTTGTTTCGTATATTATTTGGTGTATATATCTTATTTGTCCAGAGAAAAGAAAATTTGGCTTTGTTAATTGGTTGGTGCCCGCCACGATCTCATAAACTCTCAAATGTGACCGTAGGCACAAAAAGGTTGGCGACCACTGCTCTAGTGTTTTAAATATGGCCGGAACAGTGGCTATGCTACGGACTGGATGACTCGGATTCGATTCCTGGCAGGGCAATACTTATCTCTTTGTCACAATATGAAGACCGGCTATGGGGTCAATTCATTCTTTTATCCATTGTATAGCGGGATCTTTCTTAGGGGCAAAGTGGTGGGGCGTGAGGCTAACGACTCATTACTACTTATTGTCAATGTTAAGAACGCGTGGAGGAGACATACCTCTACTCTCCCATACACCTGTTTGACTTGGTGCTTAATTAAGTACCAGGGATGACTTTAAACAATTAAAGAATGTGGGGGGTAAACTGAGGATAACCACAACATATGACAACTAGAAATGCCGCTCTAGACAATGATTATGGAATGTAAGTAACGGAGCCGGTCTGCTCCGCAGGTAGCCCTTGATTTACGCCGGGGATGCGTTCCTGGACGAACCGGCGTAATAGGAATCGGCGTAAATTGAAACTCTTTTATAATGTAAATCAATGGGAAGTCAATGACATGCGTTCCCAGCACCAAAACATTGACGAGTAATATAATGGCATTACATTTAAAGCTCTGAAATAACGTAAATAAAATAAAGGGAATTTAAAAAATATATTTTATACACTTACAATCGGCAATTCGTTGGTCCCCGCGATTGACTGCGATTCTTTCATGTGACTGATGTGTACAGTCATCTCTGCTGTTATGCGATAGTTGCATTCATGTATGACGCGGACCTAAAGAAAATCGCGTAGTAAAAATAACCCCGGTACCTCCGTAGAGATTAAATTAGTCCTTTGAAAGTTTAAAGCGCCAGGAATGAAACTGCATAAGAGCAAATTCGCATATGCAAAAGTTTGAATTTCACAAACAGCTTTTACCGATTCATCGAGCTCATTGGAGCAAATTCGCGTTAACGAAATATACGTAATTGCAGAGGTGACTGTATTTATAATTTTTATTATAAATCAGCGATGTAAGAATTACGATTTAGTATAAGAATCAGTACGACATATATTGTAAAACGTTATAAATAATAGTAAAGTATATTTTTTCGCTTTTTGATTTACTGGTTTCAAAATCGGCGTTATTCTGAATAGGCGCAAATTGAACCGGCACAAATCGAGGGATACCTGTATTTCAAAGATGCATGGAACAGCTTACTCTATTGCCAGGAACAGCGTTCCGCAACAGGAGTATTTTTATAAGAAATATTGTTTTCACACATTATACTTGGAAGAAGGCAAAATCTTATCTTGTCGCAGTTAGAATTCGTAATACACAAGCAAACAAAAGTTCACAATTGACGGTTTTATCCAACACGTATTACTTATCTATACAATTTCGTACAACCTTTTCATGAGACGAAACTTTGTTTTGTGCCGCATGTCTGGCAAATTAAGGTGTGCAATGGGTAAAGAATTTGACGGAATACTGCCCCAATAGGGTCATTACGAAAAAAGGTGCGACCATCTTAGTAATTATGATAGTGATCCTGTATAAAAGATATCGAAAGTCGCAGTTTCATATTCGTGAGATAATGGGTTCAAATCTCAGCTCTGACACCACCTATCAGGTCCGAGGGCTTTCGTAGTTTTCCTCAGTCCCTCATAAAATATGCCAGGGCACTATCTCAGACAATGCCACGACCGATTCCTTTCACATTCTGTCTAATGCATTACTTATTAATCATCTTACCACTCAACGCCATATGATCTGAGCTACTGACAACTTATTTGAATAAGCCATAAACAGAAAATAAATATATTAAGAGACAGGAATCTACACAGTTCCAGGCGTTTGCCATTTTACCGGAATGACTTGCAAATGTCACACGTCACAGAGAAATGTTGCCGGACCGGTCTGCGTTCCTCCAGGTGACGGGCCAATTCGCGATGTCTGCCACTGAGACACCCCGCGTGTCGGGAACGTGCTCGGAGAAAGGCACGAAATCCATAAGAGACAGACGAGACAGTACCACTATAACGCAGCAAACTTTCAGTTTTATATCAATACTCGTACTTTGTGGGCAAATGTTAAGTGTAAGTAATCTTTGATAAGGCGAAACTTTGATAAACAGCGCTACCGAAAAACAAAGTTCAACGCCCTAAACTTTAAAGCCCTACCAGTGATTTGAGTCCGATGAAATATCTAACTATATGAAACAGGATAATTCTTTAGAAGCTATGGAATTTTAGTGGGAATGCTTTAAGGGAAGAGACTCCTAAAAGACTTTGGCATAGACGGAAGGGCAAAAGGAAATGTGGTATTAAGTTCTGGATTGGATCCATACGGCCAAGAACAGAAACCCGTGGCGGATCCCTGAGATCAGGTTAATAAAACTTGGGGTTACATAAAAGCCGGAGAATTTGACTACGTACCTTCTCAAGGAGCTCCTTTCAAGAACTGTGACAGTTGAAGTTAACTGGAAATAGTAGATACAAACACGTTCGAAGCACAACATCACTAGTGATTCTGAAACAGAAATGACGTTATACCAAACAGAAAGCAACTGTAAAGTGTATTTGTATGTAGAAGGTTCCCGGGTTAAATCTCGAAACAGTGGTATCAATTCAGACTTAGGATTCTCGTGGTTGTCACGAAACACTGAAGATGAGCACGGAATGTCATAATATATTACAAAATTCCACGGTCGATTATTCTGCGTTCTTTATAATTCACCGTCGCAGGAGCACAGGCAGATAGAGTGCTACATTTTCAGATCTTGGCACCAAGAACAGATTTCATGGTCCAACCGCTTTCACACGTACCGAAACGCATCTAATAAGGATACAGCCATTCGTGAAATTTTCCGAATTCTCTTTCCTTAGCAACTTGCCTGAAACAAACTCCACAGTTTTAATTCTCTTTGGCTGTTTCCCCCTTTATCCTTATTCATCACTAAGTAAATATTTTACTTTTGTGTGTGAATTGAGGTTTTCACAGCGCCCTGATGACGGAGGCAGTATGACCTCTGAAACGTTGGTAAACATCTACCATACTACACGGCGCAACAACCCAGAAGACTGAAATCTTCATTTTACTTTTAGTCGCACTTTGCAAATGCTTAGCGGAACTTCTCCACTACTTTAACAATATAGCGAAGCTGTTATTGTCCCAGTGTGATGGTGCGTCGCCCAAGCCAAGAAAACGTTTCTTTTTGTAAAATTACGCGTACATCAAAATAAATTCGAACAGACAAAGTCTAATGTGTAAGTCGGCTCTCTGCGACCGATTACTCATTATTTTCGCATTTACTCTCCACATCTTTCCTAAATCCGCAACGTTTGGGACGAACCAAGCATTTGTGAAAGAAATTTTAAGCATGGGCTTCATATAATTAATATAAAAATGTATAACAGATATTCACATGTGTGTGATTCACTTCCCGAAACGTTTGTATCTACGTACGAGTCCATAAGGCGTCACAATCCAACATCTACTTCGCATGCGTAACTAATTCCATGAAGAAGAGTCCTACTTCAGACGCTAGTTATATCAACTGTCATCAAGAAATTGTCGAACAGACAGACAGTGGACCCTAACTGAACAACATTCATCAGGTCCAAACCGTTACACACTTTCTTTAAGATCCATTTTATATTATTCCTCCACCTACGAATACGAATAGGTCTTTAAATTAATTATCTATTCTATTCAGATTTTTCGACCTAAACCTTTGCATCCATTTCTCATCCTATGCGTCCTACACGCCTCTTTCATCCATATTCGTAGATTTTGTCACTACGTATTTGTCTTCATCCTCCAGCTCCCTCTCTATTTTAGGTCCAAATATTCCCCTCAGCGTCCTCTTCTCCAACACCCTCAATCTATTTGCATGCTCTTCTATTTGAGTGACATGTGTTACACCCATACAGAGACAATAGGCAAAAACTGCTGTGCCATACATTTTAATCTTTAGGTTCTTGTAAATAAGTTATGATAGAATTGTATCCAATGACGTTTTGTAAAACAATTTGTCTCTTTCAACTATAAAACATATAGATCTACTTTACATTTAACTCTTTTTCGAGTTTTTCAATAAACTGGTATAAAAATGTAATAATACATTGAAGATAAATAAATATATATAATACAGTTATAAATGTAGTATTTGCAACTCATTACGAGGTAGAAAGGAAAGGTGTTGGCAATTTTATATAATCGAACAATTTAGAATCTTAAGTGTACATGTTCCACGTATGCAACCCCCTACACACTAATTACATTCTCCACGCTCTGTGACTACACCCAGTTTCAACTCATTAACTTTGTCTACGAGCTAGGCTCTAAAAAATAAAATATATGTTAACTGAAAGACGGAAATGTATGTAAACTACATGCAAACCGAAACACGGTAGTTACTCAGACAGCGTGTTGTGCAGTCCACCTCTCACGGAACTCGGCAACATATATAAACAGAAGACTGTCCTGTAATTGTCACATTCAGTCGGCAATACTTGGTTCCAGCAGCACCATGTCTATTCATACGGTAAGCTAAAAAAAAAAACTTTTCTTGAGTAAATGCAATGGTGGGCTCTATTGAATGGCGATTGTGGTCTTCTGGGTTTTACTACTGCGTAGTCTTTCATGTGGTTGCCAGCATTACAGACGGAGGCGGCAGGTTCCTACGAAACCTACAAGACTAATTACATGATGACAGAATCCTGAAGACCAACATCGACACCTTAACCGCCGTGACAACCTCACATCTTGGAATAAGAAGTGACAAACATTAAGCTGGATATTTGTTGAGTTTGAGGTTCTCACGGCGGTGAGTACGAGCGTGGCTGACTTATCGGTTGTAACAACGTGTACTTTGATGGAGGTATCAAGAACCTCTGCAACGCTGGTACATTTCTACCAGATTACACGGCGCTACAACCTAGAAGACATTCATTTTCATAAGCTGGATTAAAATAATCTTCAACACACTCGATACAGAATCCAAACAAATAAATTATTTATAAGCTAAGAAATACAGTCAGGTATAAGGGATTGATTCTTGCTTATTTCACAACGCTTTTCAACTCCCTAGGATGTTCAGAATGAAATGGCTTGATTATTCACGAATCATGTATTGAAGATGATACTGAAGTAAGCGCGTTGTGATCTATTCAAGAACGCTATCCCGAAATTTGACTGTATAGACCAAGTAAAACCACAAAATGCCTCAGGATAAACAGTCCTCGATTATAAACTTAAAGCTAGGAATGTTAACTACTTGACCAATACGTTCGGTACGATACAGGAAACAACCATCATATTTTAAAAATCACCAGATTTCTGAGTCTCGGCACATTTGGTTCAAGCTAACGGTTTGTTGTAAGATTTGAGGTTTTCACAGGGGTGAGTATAAATATTTCTGTCTTCGGGGTTGTTGCGCTGTGTAGACTGGTCGGTGTTAACCAACGTTTCTGAGGTCATACTACCTCCGTCATCAGGGTTTGTTAATTTCACGGAGAAACGAACGCGAGTCATCATACATTCTTTCTGAGACCACTTTCCTTGCGACCA